TACTGATTTTCTTATTACGCGTTATAATTCGATTTGCTATAAATTTATGATTTTCTCGAGAACTTCAATGTCATTGTGTGTTAAAAAATGATTACTCGAAAATTTATAAAGAATATCACTGTTTTAGTATTTAGTTTTTTAAGCTTAATATTTATTTCAAATGCCGAGACGCCGCCTGTTCAGGCATGGCTCAAAACTTCTTGGGAAGCTCCTTACTTGATTCTTGAAATTATGTATGTAAAAATTTTGTAAATAGTAACTTAGCAATGAGACGATATTAATTTTTTGCCATTTGTACTATATTATTCCAAGTGAATCTGTAGCCGCCGAAAATTCTTCGGCGTATTTTTCTCTCATTGATGAATTTTTGGGACGAGGTTTAATATCCTCAAATAAAATGTCAGATCGTGACTTGTATAATCAAGCTTTAGATATAATTGAATCAGGACAATATTTGTCAGTGCCAACTTCACGATCATTTCTCGAATTCGCACTTTCTCTACATACTACTGCGCCAGCGATTCAAGCATATTATCATTATTATAATGCAACTGTAGTTCCAAGTACAAAAGATTATATTGAAACCCATGAACATTTGAAATTTGATCCTGACTGTGATGTTTGGGTTGATTGGTATGGAAATCAGGCTTGTAGTGTTGAAGAATTTAAAAAGCTTACTGGAATTATCGATAATAGTAAATTTAACTCGAACTTTGATATTAAAAGGTAGATGTTCTAGAAGTAAATGCATTTTTTATATATTTGAGAATAGTTCATGTTTAACAAATTATTAATAATCTGTTAGTGATGCTCCAATTCCAAAGCTTTTACCTTTTGATCATGTTCTGCAATATGATGAAATTGCACCTTTAGCTGTTTTATACGCTAATTTATATTCACCGAGTTTTTTGACTTTTCATAAATTCTTGTCTGATTTGGCCAAAAATGGAGTTTTAAGCTACGTTTTGCGATATAGACCACCAAAAGAAAGGCGGGACGCGCTATATCTATCTGGATATGGAGTAGAATTAGCTTTAAAAAACACTGATTACATTGTAGTGGATGATCGTAAGGTAGAAACAGGTAGAATAATAGATTTCCTTTTGAAATTTCAATTTTTTTATAATTATTTTAACAAATAAACTTTTTGATTTGATTTATGGATAGGTGATGTGAACGAAAATGATAATCAAGAACCAATGCTCCAAGAAAGACCATCGACTGATCATTTATTTGTTCAACAAATATCTGAAATAAAGCCTTTAACATATGGTGAAATTAAAGGTTATTCATATATTTGGTATAGTCTTATAATTCCTAGTTTAGGTGTGGACTACAATACTTATTTATCTATATATTTTTACAGACCTTGGCCTTAAAGCTGCACAATTTGTCTTAGAGGCACAGAAACCATTATTAGCACTTTCACAACTATCACAAGATTTTCCAAAATATTCTGGTCCTATTTCACAAATTACATTAAATTCTACGTGGGAAGCAGAAGTTCAATTGAATCAGCAATATATTATGGATATAGACAAAAATTCTATTTGGATAAATGGACTAAGTTTAGACCCAAATTCTGTTGATCCATTCAGGTATTATTTAATTACACAAATCATTAACACGAGTATTTTAGTATTTCTTTATCTTTAATTGATTTTAGGTTTTGTAAAATAGTTTATTAAAGACAATGCGTCGTGAAAGACGGATCATGTTATCTCTCAAAAGCCTTGGTTTAAGTTTACAACAGGCGGTTGAATTACTTGCGTCTCCCATAATTTCAGAATCGAAATATTCTCAAAATCTTTTTAGAGGTGTTTTTGATGTTCGTGATAAATCTGAAAAAGAACATGTGGTTGTATGGTTAAATGATTTGGAAAAAGAAATTCGATACGCTCATTGGCCTCATCGTATTTACGAGGTAATTTATAACTTTTTATGCTGAAAAAAAAGTAAATATCTTCTTGTTATGCCTTTTAAAATTAATTTTCCGGACATAATTTCAATTTGTTAGCTGCTTCGTCCTGTATATCCAGGACAAATGCGGTATATACGCAGAAATTTATATTCTGTCTTGTTTGTCCTTGATCTCTCCTCTGTGGATAGTCTTAAAATTATTACCGAATATGTCAACATGCTTATAGTTCGAGAAATTCCTATCCGTTTTGGCTTAATCCCTCTGTTTTCTGATAATCAACCAGATTGTAAGCAATTTTAATAATATATGGTCGTATGTTTGCCTTTTTGGTCTAATATATATTTATTATTTCCTAGCTCTTTTAATGGCGCGAATCTTTTATTATCTTGTCGATCGATATTCCACGTTGTTGGCTGTGGATTTTCTTACTCAAGTATATGTTAAGAGTAAAAAAATTCATTTTACTTAAAGCTATTTCTTATGTTTTATTAAATTTGAAATTTAGATTTATGATGAGGTCCATAAATCATCAACAAAAGCTTTTGATGAAATAAGTCGAGAAATATATAATCGTGTGGTTGATAAAAAACAATTGAAGGATGAAAAAATTCCTAGCACCTTTGAAGATATAGTAAATTCGGAGAAATCTCCAGTTATAGAACAAATAGAGGATGCAAAAGATTTCGTCAGACGATTCCAAATAAAACCGGAAAGTGATGGTGTTTTCTTCGTAAATGGAAAATATTTTGATATGGATGAGGTAATTATACATTAACAATCAAATAATTTGGCTCGCTATTATAAATCACATGTATTTTGACTTATTATAATTCTATATATAATGTAGAGTTATCAACGCAACATGGTTCAAATGATCAATGAGTACACAGGGTTTTTGCAGCAAAAAGTAAGATCAATTATATTTACTTAAAAATAGGTGCAATTTAGAAAATATGCACATTATTGATTTAACCTATGATTCTGTTTAGGTTTATGTGGGAGAAATTAATGATATCACCGACATTTATGATTATTTCATGACCATGCCGGGTGTTCCAGATAGGAGGAATTCTTATATTTTTATATCAGACAATCAACCTTTAAATGTTGTTAATTTAGTCATTGATAAAGATTGGAATAATGTAGAAATTGACAAGTTGAACTACATCTATTCTGGTAAGACATCTTATAAATATGCAACGTTGAAAAACTCTTAATAATATCCTTGGATTTTTCCATATTTTAGAGAACAGAACTGACGAAGAGATTCCTATGACGATATTAATCATTTCAGATTTCAATCAAAAATATGGTGCAATACAAGGATTAGAAGCATTAAAGTTTTTGGTATTATAAAATTGAATTTTATATAAATTGATCATATAACCAATTTAACGTTATAAATATCCTATTTTCTGTAGGATTCATCACCAGATGTACGAATATCTCTTATCCATAACCCATCAAATGATACTGGTGACAGTATCATGTCATCAATGATATATTATCTATTATATGAAGTTGCAGACTTGCCAAAGCATGTATCATTAAAATCCGCATTTGAAGAGTTTTTGAATGAACTTTCGGTAGAAAAACATATAAAAAATAGTAATGAAGAAGATCAAATTCCGATTGGAATAACTAGAAATTCTGCAGTATCAGTTGGATGGCAAATGATTGATAATTTAAAGGCCAACAAATATTGGAAAGATATGAAACCATTCATTAAAAATCTATTAAAATTAGGCCAAGGAGAGACTGCCTTCGTCATAAACGGTCGTGTAAATATATTTTATTTTTTGTTTCCCTTAAAATATGCATGTATGCGATTGTTGAAACTATTGATTTCTATTTTTTGCACCCTAGATTGTTGGTCCTATTAATTCGAATGATTTGTTTACCTTTGATGATTTCGAATTATTGACCACTACTGAACTTACCGAACGCATCAATCCAGTTATTGAAAGTATAAAAAATCTCGATTTAAATTTAACATTGGAAGGGTATTTGTATTTTATTATTTTGATTTTTCAATTTCACTTTTTTATGTATTTATCATAATGTTTATTGAATAAACGCGTAGATCAAATTATTCGGATTTCTTTTTGAAGGCAACTTCCGTAATTTCCGTTTCTGGCGTGTCTGAAGTTCCAGTTGGTCTCTTTAATATCCCAGATAATAAACGTGATCTCTTATACCAAACTCTAAAGAGAGACTACGGGTACATACATTTATCCAGTTGAAGGGATTTGTTTGCTAAAAGAAAACATCCAAAAAACTAATATAATCATTTTTCATTATTACTGATTCAATTTTTTAGTCTAATACGGATTGGTCAGAAAGACACCGCAATGTATTATATTTCCGCAGTTGTTGATCCATTAAGTCCAACAGCACAGAAATGGTCAACTATTTTGATGGTAATTAATATATATATATATGCTTTAAAATAATTTTATTTTTTGGTATTTATCCATAATTTAATTTATTGTAGACACTGTCTCAAATTGAGGGTGTGTACATTGAACTGTACCTATATCCTCATCTGCATTTGAAAGAATTACCAATAAAACGTTTCTATCGATATGTTCTGGAGCCTCGGTTGACATTTAATGCAACAACAGGGTAAGGTTCACGTGTTGTTTTTCGGTTTCATGTAAATTAAATTTTACAATTTAATTTTAATTTTTTGTCATTAAGTGCTCTTATTCCGCCAACTGCATATTTTGCCCATCTTCCGGAAGATCCGCTATTAACACTTGGAATGGATGTAATTCAATCATGGTTGGTCACACCAAAAGTGTCAATACATGATTTGGATAATATTCGCCTAGCTAATTTAGATAGTCGATATAAAATTAAAGGAGTAGATGCACTTTTTGAATTAAAAAATATTCTTATTGAAGGACATGCATTTGACATTACAACGAATTCACCACCTAGTGGCCTTCAACTTTTACTTGGCACAAATAATTATCCTGCAATGGTTGATACAATCGTGATGGCTAATCTTGGGTATTTACAATTAAAAGCAAATCCTGGAGTCTGGACACTTAGATTAAGAGAGGGAAAGTCAAAAGAAATATATGATCTCCTAAGTGTTGGTAGCGAAGGATGGTTTAGTCGAAGCGTTAGTGAAATTGGTAACGAAATAGTTTTAAACAGCTTTGAAGGGTTGATAATTTATCCTCGTCTGGTACGTAAACCGGGAAAGGAAAATGTTAATATTAAAGATGACGAAAACGATGATAGCTTTTGGGATTACTTTAAGAATAAGTGAGAAATTACAATATTTTGAACTTTATATACTCCTCAAACAAATTATTAAAACCATATATTTCTTTATTAAGGTTCACTAAACCAGATGGTCAGAAACAAGGCAAAGCTGAGATAAATATATTTTCGGTAGCATCTGGGCACCTTTATGAAAGATTCTTGTATATAATGATTCTTAGTGTGTTGCAACATACAAAAAGTAAAGTGAAGTTTTGGTTTATTGAAAACTTTTTGTCATCTTCCTTTAAAGTAAGAAAATTATGTTTATGAAGTTGGTTATAAATTGTTGAAAGTAATGAGTGCAAATGACTAATAATTCCTAACATATTTACATGTTTTATAGGATTTTATACCACATATGGCTAAGGAATATGATTTTGAATACGAGCTTGTTACGTATAAGTGGCCACATTGGCTACGCAGCCAGACAGAAAAACAGCGTACAATATGGGGGTAAATTCTTAATTTAGAATAAATACATTAATATATTCATTATATTTGCTAAATCCTTTCCTTGTTTAGATATAAAATTTTATTCCTTGATGTTCTTTTCCCTCTCGATTTGGATAAGGTTATCTTTGTTGACGCTGATCAAATCGTTCGGACTGATCTAAAGGAATTAATTGATATGGATTTAAAAGGTGCGCCATACGGATATACTCCATTCTGTGACAATCGACCGGAAATGGATGGGTTTAGATTTTGGAAGTCTGGATACTGGAGTGAACATCTGAACGGAAAGCCATACCATATCAGGTACATTAAATACTTTATTCCTAATCTTGTTATGTTCAGAATAATAGATTGCTTTAATTGACCTTTTTTTTTTTAAAGTGCTTTATATGTTATCGATTTGCAAAGATTTCGCCATATGGCTGCCGGGGATAAACTACGTGGTCAATATCAGATCCTTAGCTCAGATCCGAACTCTTTGTCGAATTTAGACCAAGATTTGCCAAACAACATGCAACATATTGTGCCAATATTTTCTTTGCCACAAGAATGGTTATGGTGTGAGACATGGTGCAGTGATGAATCATTAGCTTCAGCGAAGACTATCGATCTGGTAAAATAATAATAACAATACAGTCAACCTTCCGTAAATGTACCCTCCATAAATGACACACTATGAATACCATCTCTAAATGCACACCTCTAAATGCGCATTTTTAAAAATTTTGCATTTACAGAGGGTTGACTGTAATATATTATGTTAAATAGATTTTCATATTAATTCTTTTTCAATTTAGTGCAACAATCCTTTAACAAAAGAACCTAAGCTCGAGAGAGCAAAGCGTCAAATTCCAGAATGGGAGTCTTATGATAATAAAGTTGCATCTTTAGCGGCGAGGGTTGCGCAGCAAAAAGCTTCTGTACTAGACAATCAGCAAAATGTTCCAGAAAGCAGTTCTCAAAAAACAGAATCAACTACCACACCCATAATAGTAGCTCCCGTTACTCGGCGCAATGACGAGCATGAGCGTGAACATGATGAGTTATAGGTAGCGTTGTCACTCGGACAATTCGGACAAAACTCAATGCTAGATAACGTAAAATTTATTATGGCAACCTAATTTAAACTATTAATTAAAATTGAACTTTGCAATTTTTTTTTTTTTTTTTTTTTTTTTTTGTGTGGGGGGGGGGGGAGGGAGACTTATAATCTAGATGAGTGTCGGGCGGTCCGGCGGACAGTCCAAAAGCTCGAATTATAGGTAATTTTGTTGATAATCGTATTTAATCTGGGGTACAATGAAAACAATGATGCATATAGTTAAATTAATTTATCAAATTATACAAATTTGACGTAACTATATATATGTAATTATAGTTAGATTGTTAGAAAAACAAGTAATGGGTAAAATGTAAAGCAGGTTTTCGTGCAAGTAATAAATAAAGTCTTCGCTTTTTCCATATTCATTGTTGTCACAAAGTGAAGGCATTTTTTTTTTTTTACAAAAAATGTTATACAGCACTTGAAAACAGGCTATATAATAATGAAAATGTTATACGTATTGGTAAGTCTTTAATGTTATACGTACGTACGTACGTATTATTAAAAGTGGCTGAAATAGATAATTAAAGTTTGAATAACCCAATAAATAAAAAATAAATAATAAGAGAAAAAATACGTAGGATAGATTTGAAATTTGGCTAAAAATAGATTAATATTAAGGGGAGTTTACAGATAAGGCCAAAAACGAAAATAATTACAAATAAGGACCCAAAGGCCCAATATTTGAAAATTATTACAAATAAGAGCCCAAGTATACCGTTAAAATTGCTAGCCGATTTAAACGTAATGATATATGTTATTTGCCTCGTTTCGTGATTAAATAGGTGTTTTAGAGTTACCGTTCAGACGAGACCAACTTGATTCTGTGTTTTACATTATCCCCCCAGCGCTCCCTCCTCTCCCTCATAGTAAAAAAAAATATATATAGGGCTACGGGCTATTTCGGAAAATTTTTATATAGTCACGGAACAATTCGGGAAAATTTTTTTGAAAGAAATATTTTTTTAAAAATTTTACTAACCCACAAATTCTCCCCTCCCCCCTTCCGGAGGGGAGAGGGGGTAATGTAATACAGAATCAAGTTGGTCTCGCCTGCCTCATTATTCAGAATTAAAAAAAAAAAATCCGACCGACCGATCGGATTTTTGAAAACCAACTTTTTGTGACCTAATAGCTTTACTTCTTCAAGCTACCAGGTATGATGTCTTGGCCCCCACTCCAGAACGAACACGATTTTATAATATCACGAGGTCGAAGTACTGCTATACTTTTAACTAATGGCACAGTAAACTTTACAAGGTATGATCCACGTGCTTTGGATGCTTTGGACAAGTTAGATCATGAGGAATCAACCTTACTATATGAATGTGGTTATCTTTGCGCTTGTTTACTGAAATAGTAAAAGGGCATGAACTGGTTTCATTTGTAAAATAAATGGTCAACAGTTTATTTGGTTTGTTCATTCTGAACTTATAAGGAGAAGAAAATAAATGAACATTTTCCATGTTAGTAAAAGTCATACTGATCTGAAATTTTGTATCTGACATGGTGTTTGTTATAAAGCATGGTATATAAAATATGATTTATTTACTCTAAAATAAAGTGGTTAAAAATTTATATTAATAACGCCAATGCAAACCCTGTATACATATGATTCGGAGTCATGTTTGACCCATGACAATAGAACCTGGGATACCCCCCTGGGTATTTTACTCTAAGCAGCCCACAGCAAATCGAGAGATTAGCTAAGCGAGTGAAATCTTTAAATGAATTGAATCTTAGCTACGGTATGACCAAGAAACTCCGTGACATTAATTGGTTTTCTATATCTCATGATAATTTTAAAAAAATCAGATTTGAAATAAAAAATATATTTATAATGTATAAGGAACTCATTCAAATTTGGTTTAAGTTCATTAAGAATGAAAACCCTTATATAAACTATTGAAAATTCATGATTTTACATCCAAATAATCTGTTGTTTTTCGTATGAATGCATAATCAGTTTTTCCTAAATGCTGTCAAGTTTATAAAATAATATATACTACGTAGATAAATGCATAATATTGTGTGTCCAGAGCTAAGTAAGCACAAACAGATTAATAAAGCACGCTATATGTTAGGAAAATAACTCTCGGAGGCTATGTTGATTTTGTAAATAAAATTAAATTTGTCAGCCATCTAGTTATCCAATTTGAATGAACTTTTGTTTTTATTTTGTAGAATTAAATAAGTCTTACAAAAAAAAAAAAATTCAGGCAAATTGGATAACTAGGTTGCTGGCAATTTAATTTTTATTCACAAAATCAACATAGCTTCAAAGGATCATTTTCCTAGCAAAGATCTCAAAGGAATATAGTGTCTTTCGCTCGCTTTGCTCCGGAAAAATAAGTAGAGTTTGGAATTTAATATTAAAATCCGTCGGATATCCGTTAAATTTAATATGAAAACGGAGATAGAGATAATAAGCACTATACTTACACTTAATAAACCATTAGCGTTGTCTAAAAATTGTTTAATATCCTTTTTTAATATTTTTTGTTTTTTTGTATTAAAGGCGAGGTTTTGCTCGTATCTTTATTTAATAATTTGTAAAAAAATATCTCCAGAGGCTTCTTTGGATATATCAATTACAAATCTTTTTATAAAGATGAAGTTCAAACTATAGACAGAAAACTATTTAATTTATCTGCAACCTAAACCTACTAGAGTGGTTAAAACACTCGCCTAGATACATTCCGTCACTCAGTAACATGGTAATATTTTATCTGACTAAAAATACATACATGATACAGACATAATATAAAACTATGCGAAATGAAGCCTAACGGCAAAATTACTGAAGGAAAATTTTCTTTTTTCCAAAAGCAGTTCCGAAAGTAGAATATATGCTATTAATTATACCTATATTATTTGATTCATTCATACTGGATGAATCATTAATTGGAGTTTCTGTTTGTTGTTGGTTTTGTGTTAGTGTTTGACTTTGATTTGAATGTCCAAGTTGATCCGTAGAGTCCTTAATCAAAGAAATCAAAGAAAAAATGATTGTAGTTTTAATAATTGAAAAAGTAATTATCAAAATAAAAAACATCAAAAAAAATATAACATACTGTTTCTTCAGTGGGCTCATAAACATGTGTAGAAGTATTGACGATATTTTCTTGTTTAGAAGTTCTTCCAGCATCAAATTTTGAAAGTAGGTTATTAACATGACCTTGCCTTAGTATTGAAATATTATGCACTGAATTTGATGCCTAAATAGATTTTTTTTTTTAGCGTCTCATTCAAATTTACATGCAAAGTAAATTGTTAAAGATCATTACTTTTTCATTATTACTATTGTTATCGCTATTATTATTATTATTGTTATTACCGTTATTGTTGATTGTTGACAGTAATTTCTCTTTTATTTCAGCAACTGATGGGCCACGATTATGATTAATGTTTCCGTCAGAAGAATGCAATATATGTAACCCTTTTTTTGGACCCAATTCATCATTTGATTTTGTAATATGTTTCTGCTCAAAGTTAGGAATAAGGCAATTAGAGTTTGATGATTGTCTTGGAGATACTGAGGGCGAATAAGGTGGTGTTCGAACTGGAAGATTAATTGGAAATGAACGAACTAAATACTGTGTTTCAAAACTAGATTTTCTGTTAAGTTCTTTATTACTCAAGTTTTCATTTTCTTCATTGTCAGATGCATCGTTACTTTGAACACCGGAAACAATTTTAAGATCAATTTCTGTATCAATGTTTAAATTTGTATGATTATCTATAGAAGACATCTCATTTACTTGATCATCCGGTCCTTTAACTTCACTTTCTGTTACCGAAAATCTTTTTGCATTTTGCTTAATATTAAATATATCATAGTCATCATCTCTAAAAAATGGCGCATCATTTTCATCTATACCAATGGAAATTTTTGATATTAAATCTTGAGCTGGAGGTGTAACATTTGAAGAAAATGTAGAACAAATTGGAAGAGACAAACGGTTTCTCGATGTTTTTTCATTTTTCACAATATTTCTTTTCATTGGTTCATGATGTTGAGTACTTATAATAGATGAACATTCTGATTTTGTAGCGTTACTGCGTGGGAATTGTACTTCTGTTGATCGTAAAAAATTTAAAGATTGAGAAAATTTATTTTCTGGCTCTTCAATTAAAGGAGACGAAGCATTTGAAGGCTTATAATTCATTGCGGCTAATTGCATATCTGATATAGACGCAATGGATTTTGATATACGATGCGAATATCTTCTCGATAACTTGCGTGAAAGTATGGAAGTATCTTCAGTTGGTGATCGAATCTTGAAAATAAAGTAATTAATTATATTATATTTTTAAAAGTGATAGGTATATAAAAATTCTTACCTCATCCAAAATATTATCAATTTCTTGAGGTGCGGGGATCCCCATTGTAGCAAATGCTGACCATTCATTTATTTTTGTAATAATTCCTCTACATTTGTTTAATGATTCAGTAAACAAGGTGAATTGGCAATCCGTTATCCGACAAATTATCTGCATGACTATGCCATGAGCGTTCTTTTCTCGTTTTGTAACATGATTTTTATATGTGGTATATTTCTATAATACAGTATTAGGGTTTTTTTTTTGTCAACAAAAAAAAGAAACATTGTAGAAAATCTGAGCTTACTTCTAGTGCATCAGAAATTGCTTTATCTTTCTTTGATTTCTTTTCATCAGTATCAATTTTTTTTATTTGCTTATATAGCTCATTAGCATTCTCATATGCTTTTTCTTCTTTCTAAAAATTGAAAAATTTAGAATTTATAGATAAAATTCAAACAAAGATACGTCATCACTCACAGCAACTCTCCTGGAATATTTGTCCCGAAATTTTTGTAGTGTATCGAATTCTTTTTGTAAATGCTTACTCTACTTATAATAGAGAGATAATTTTTTAAAAGAAACATTAATAAAAAATAAATCCAATGTTATTTATCATACCGATTTGGTTTGAGCTTCGGAGTAATTTTCATAAAATTGAGACATAGCTTGAAAACACATTACTGCGGTCAAAGAAATAAGGTTATCACGTGCACAATAATAACATGTGATCTAAAACTTTTTCTTACCATGAGAACTATCCATCCCTTTACTATTTCCGTATTCTTTAAGAGACTTACTAAGAGCTTTTGAGGCTTTTGCAAGTTTATCAACCAAATCACAAAAGTTTCCGGCAATCGAAACCAAATGTCCAAGATTTTCGACTGCTTTTTGAACATCATTCGGATTCGGTATTTTATCATCTCGAATTGGTTGCGCCGGAAAATAATTATTGAGTGGCGATCCGAGAATTGGTGTTTGAACTGGAGAATTTGGATGAGAACTGAATAGCGAAAACCTTTTTTTCTTATACGATGTTATCATAATTGCAATTGTTAAATTGTAGTTCTGTTTGATTAAATACACGAAGTTTTATTTTATTCACAATGTATCTATCTGCATGCAATTAAATAAAAAAAATTGATATGCTTTTAAGCATCAAAAACAAAAAAAAGTTTGTTGAAAAAAGAAATATGACGATAAAAGCGTTGGAATTAAAAAGAAAAAAAAAAGGGCTTAATCCCCTCGAAATTACGGGGTTAAATTTACTCAAAATCCAAACATAGAATAATTAAAATAATTAAAATCAGGGAAATTTGGAAGATCGTTGTTCTAAAGATCGTTCCGTACGACATCATTATGTCATAAGTCTCATGACTAATTCTTCAATATTATTTTACTCAAATGGCGAGTTTATCTTTACATGATACTGTAGATAATGTTCCCGAGATATCGATTTTAAAATTATGTTTAGCATGTCCTTTTCTTATTATACAAACTTTTTACATATTGAAAGTATGCACACAATAAAGTATACCAAATTATAAACGGTAATATATAATTTACTACGCATTGATACGTATTTCTATAATTAATAACAGATAATTAAGATAATAAATATATAACGATAACGATAATTTATTTCATATTGACATTTCTATATACAGGGAACATCTAAAGCCTGGCACCTTACTAAATTACCCGATTTTTCCGATTTTTAATCAAAATCGATTAATATTAGGGTTAGGGTTAGATTTGGGATAGAGAGAATGGTTGTATTAGTAAAATCGCATTTCCGACACTTCATATTTAGTGCATGAAGACCAGTGTAAATAACCGTTTGTCTGTCGCTTCGCTTTGTTTTGTTCGGGCTGATCCGGGTTGCATATCCGGGTTGCATATCGGGTAATTTCATAATGTGCCAGACTTTAAATGACCCCTATCTCTATATACAGTAATTTATCCGTGAAAACTTTATTTTAGGTCTTGGCCAAAGCACTTGATCTTATCCTTGCGAACCAGATTTTTTTTGATCAGCGAATCGACTCGAATTTGGGTCGGAGTAGTCCGGAATTGATAAAATTTTACTAATAAAGTGGCAGCCCATGTACTACAGTATAGGACAGCATAAATCAACACCTTTTTATATATCTGATATATTTTACAAAAAATATTTAAAAAACCATTCTAACCAATTTTGTAGCATTAAGCCTAAGCTACAATTTGGCTAGAAAAGATTTTTACTTTTATTTTAATTTTAATAAGAAGTTATAACAATTTAACATTTATAATACAGTAATAGCTTAAAAATATGGCCATTAATATATAAAAAAAAATTTTTTTAACCAATCACAATTGATTATGTAATTTAAAATTTTGGTTATTTTTATTAATACAATAATAAAGAAGTATTAGTTTATGCTGTCCTGTACTGTAAGTAAAGCTGCCCAAATGATAATTTTATAATTTTTGCTGTAACGGTAATATAGTTTGCCGCCTAATGCAATCTTGCTCGGCATATTCCTGACCCCAAATTCGGGCCGATTTGCTGAATGTTGGTGGATCCACTAATCTGCCCAAATTAATTTTTAGGTTACATACCGATATCAGATATGCGAAAATTCTATGTACAGTACATTGGACATTTTAAAAAAAGATAACCTATTAAAATAACCCTATTTTTTAATTTTTTAATTAAAAATGTTCAGAGCTAAAAATATATATATATATATGAATTTGGTATATACTATATAAAGTTATAATTACTTTGGACATTCCGACTAAACGTTGGACGGAACATACCAAAAAGGTCCTGGACGTAAAAATGTACGACACAGTAAAAGGTTATTATATATCAATACGTATATAGTAGAAAAGTGACTATTGTAGCTGATTTTACTATAGAATTGTAATTACTAAAATATTTTGATATAAACTATGTAGTATTTTGTGTTTTAGAACATCTTCAAAGTCTATCGAACAATTAATTAATATATATATAAGCTTATATATTAATATTAGTAGATTTTGCCCGATTTTCAATTTCAGCTAAAAAATATTCAAAAAATTATTTAATACAATTAATCTTTATGTTTTCATAATAGAATTGCAAAGATCATTAATAAATCTTAACATCTAATAATTATTATCAATATGTTTGTTTTGAAATTTCAATTAGTGAAAATCCACCGATGCCTAGGGCCGGTTTGAACCTAAGACTAGATCGAATAAGATCAACTTCTTATCGTTATAGTCTTCTTAAACCAGTCTTAAGACTGGTCACAAAACCATTTACCGTACAGCGCTGCATATAGTACCCCATTGGAGAAGTATCCCCTTTAAATAATATCGCTATTCAATTGTAGATTTTAGCATTTTTGAAAAGTATCCTGGTCCTAATAAATTTATTACCAACCAATGATCATGTTATACGATAAACTCACCTTTTTTAGTATACCCCCCTTGTATAGTACCACCCTCTTCACACAGTACCCCCGGGGGTATTATTTAATTAATCTTAGATTTCTTGTAAAAGACCGGGGGTACTATATGCAGCGCTATACGGTAGTTATTTAGACTAGTTCTTATGTATACGTATTATAATGACCAGTTCAAAACTGGTCTTTTATTATAAATTCGAACTGAAGGTTATGAGTTCAGACTAAAGGTCTGGACCACGAACAGTTTCTTATTTTAAAGACCGGTTTTAGATCAGTTTTATGAATTTAGATCATAAGTTTAAACTATTGGCTCTCTAAACGATCTCAGAACTGAACCGTAATTAAACCAAAAAAAACTGGATCGAACTGAACTGAAAATAGGCCGAGCCAGACTAAATCGGACTGTTAACATCTCTACCCATCTCTACATTCAAGAACGCAACGTTTTATTTATAGCTTATGATTTTGACTTGCCAGTATTATGTCTTAGTCGGAATTATGTATGTCGGGTTATGTACTGTGATTTTGAGGTAGAATCGACTAAAAGATCGACTTAATCAAGTCAATGATTATGAATGTAGGAAATATCGAAAAAAGTATGAATACCAAAGAAATTAGGGAAAGATTTTTGATATCAACTTAGTCGAGTCAATAAATTTATGTCGACTGCAAACACTAATCAGGAGTTATTAATAATAAATACCGTTTTCACCACTTTATGTGTATCTAATTTATTTACTCGGTGTCGGTTAACCTTTTTGATTTCTATTTCGAATTCAAATCACCACAATAATAATAAAGATCACCCTTGTAGATTAAAGTCATTGGCAATTGCAAAACTGGTAAATTTTAAATTGCGTAGTAAATACAAACGCATGTTGCGTATCTTTGATCAAATGTCGATATTTACTAAAATCATCGTAAAATTTTGGTAAAGATGCATTATTTTGCAAACCACTATAAGTTGATTACTAATTGATTCGTAAATTAAAATCATGAGACGCATATCAAATGTAAAACGCTATTACTTACTCTGTTAAACTTTGTTCTTACAACAACAAACCCACATACTTCAATCAAGATCTATACAAACAACCTCTCCTTTGCTAATTTGATTAACTTCACACATTCGGTTCGGCCACATAATTATCCCATACTAAACAAACAACAATACACCTACCTTCTCTTAAGACTGAAAACATTAACCTATGATCATGAGCTCACAACTACTTTCGACAAAGATACCAAAATTCAAGAAACTACAAGTACTATCTTCATGCTAAATTCTGCGTCTCAACATTTTCTATATAACTGCTTCATTCCAAGGTTCCTTGGGAACCCTTGCACTTACTTGTTAAAAACTACACTAAAACAAATACATTAAATCACAAATCGACTCACTTGGTTCAATCAACAACAAATTACTAACTGACATGCCTCCCAAAAGAACATCAACTGGCCACAGACACTGCAATACATTACATATGGTGAGAGACCATTAGTGTTAAATACTGATCCATTCTCTTCAGCAATAAAAAATTTTAAAATTAAGCTGCTCTCTGAAGGACTACCTACCTTTCTCCTTTTTATTAAAGAAATACTACAAAAAATCCCAACTATCTCTGCCTAAGATGTCTGAATGCTCCAGAAGACATTGCCCATTTTTTAACATGCTCATGGAATCATCTGTGCCTTATGACCCTAATTACACAAGCAGTGTATAAGACCTCACACAAAATAGAGATATATATTTCCAATTAGACACCATATCAACAAACAAATGTCCTTAAGACTAATTACTGAAGACACTCTAACACCTTATGAAAAAATACTGATAGACACAAATATGCACCTCTCACTCACCACAATATTATCATTGCAATGTACAAAAAACTATGGCTTATGTCTAAAGCAATACAACACAATCCCAGTTTTCCATCCCCTACCCCCCTACATTCTCCAGTGCTAGGTAAAACTGAACCAATCACTCCCTCATTCTTACATAAAAAGATACATCAATATATTACATATGGACAATCTTCTCTTAGTCACCTTATCAAAGACTAGAGGTCTAGTGACCATTCTAGCAAAGAATAGGTCGAGAATAAAGCAGCTCTTACTTCCATCTCCCCTAGAATAGTTTTTCGTCATGTATCTAATATATGTATAATTAACTATTAAATAAAAGAGATAGAGGATAGACCTCTCTTTAAAAAAAAAAAAAAAAAAAATGTAAATGCTATAAGGTTTTAGACGACCTGTGAATGTAGAAACCACCAATGTTCAAAATTACAAATTCAAATACTGTTCTCATGACGACAGTATTAAAGTGTTTCTCAACTTATGATTTATGCTCTCTAAAAAACTATTGATTTCTAATTACAAATATAGGTTTTCAGCTTCAACTTTAAACCGTGAATCATTACTGCATTAATAGCAAACGTTATAATGGTATATTACCTCAAGTACATCAAGAGCAGAAGGACCCTCAAAAGAAATGATTATATACGAATAACATGATCATTTTTTGATAAATAAATATTTTATTTCTTATCTAATCGTGCGATTATTATTTAGTAATCAAGTTTATCTTTGCACTGAATA